TTTTTCTCCCAACTACACTAGAAACTCTCCTTGGTGAGGGTCTCGTCTGACTCGCCCACCTGAATGTGGGCTCAAGAGGCCAGGACTCAGCCTGTTGTCATCACGGTGTATGTCCAGCACTGGGCATTTCAAGTGCATGGGAGACACTAGCTATTTAAAGGGAGGAATGAACATGGCTTTCCTTTCCATGAATCCTCTTTCCACCCCCTTCACTTCCTTTGTCCCTCACATGTGGACACATGATCCGTGTTGCGCTTCACACCAAGAGGGAACCAGAGCTGAGACCCTGAACTGACGGGAAGGCAGTGGCCAGGGCAGAGTCAGGCACACTGAGCAAGATCCACACTGTGGATCGTGTGCTTGGCTGAAGGGAGGAAAGTGTGCCTAGTGGGATACGTGGTCCACTGAGGGAAGGAGACTTCAATTCTACAAACAGGCCAAATAAAACACTCAACCTGTGATCACCCTGTAAATGCACTTTTGAAACATCAATTTGTGTGACAGTAGGTCCCAGGCCTACGAACCATCTCAATATACACTTGTGAATATCAGCAACCATCCTGATAAGGACTTAATGCCTTTCTATTTCTTAATGAACCATGTTTTGAGATGGGTTGCTAAATAGACAAGACAATCTGTGTCACAGTAAAAGCTCTCATAGGAACACTACTCTCAGTCAGGCAGTTTGACTAGCAACCTGTTAGTAAAAAAAAAAAACAGTTTAAACTTCTCTTGATAACAACTGATTATCTGCTAGTTTGAAATATTCTATCATATTTAATGAACTAATAAATCTGTCAATGGCTAGTCACTTTTGAACTTCATTAAAACATCACCTGCCCTCTTGTTTTCAAGCCAGAAGGTACTGATCTAATTGATGGACCAGGAACTCAAGGTAAAAGCTATCTTTTTAACAAAGAATAAACAAACATCCGGTATTGATGAAGTTATTAATGGTACCTTCCTGCTAGCAGCATGGCTTCCATCTGCTGACTAACATGTAGCTTATGGTTGGGAAGGACATTATCGTCAAAGTCAATGTTTAAGCACCTGGACTGCTGGGAAGATGGCAGAGTAAGTCCATGTTTATATACGTGCTCCTGCCCTTCAACACACACATCCAAAAGCTGAAAAGACAGCTGTCTACAGGGAAACTAATAAAAGCCACCATGCCATACCAAGGACTCCAGGGAAGCGTCTGACAACTAAGCTAGGGACTCATCAGAGAAGGCTTCTTCAATCTGTCAAGCAGGCCACAGTTGCTGGGCAGTCGCTGAGAGGGTTTCAAGGGACTCGACCAATTATCTCTGAACTTGGAGAAGCAAAGCCTGGTGGTGGTCAGGACAAGCTGAGGGCACGTTTCCCCAAGCAAAGCTAACAGGGGAGATTGACATCTCATGTGCCCCATCTGTGTGAAGAGGAGACCAACAGTAACTCAGGAGCTAAACACACAAACACTGATTACACGTTATCCAGGAGAGCAGAGGGACGAACCTTCTGAACTCCTGAGCGGGCGACCTCTAGTGGAAATAGGGAAACTCGAGGGGATCTCTCTCCCCAAGTGGGACCCAGCCAGCCCAAGGGCAGAGCATTCAACAGTGTCCATGAAGGCACTCCGGGAGGCTTTGCTTCCCCCCTCCTTCCCCCGCGTCCAGAGAGCAGAATGGAAAACAAAGACCGCCTCTGTTCCTATACCCCATCAGCATCCAGCCTGCCAGTTTCAGGGCTCAGGTGATCAAATGCATTTCACTTGAAAAACGAGGAGTTCAAGGAAGACTTATTCACATTCTTCTTGGCAGACAGAATTGGTCCCATGCAAAGACCAAAATAATAAGCAGAAAAAGCCACTGTGATACTTGTGCAACAATAAAAGAGCAAAACAACACAGAAGAAAAGGAATGAAAGAAGCAAAAGATACACACACTCTGGAAAAAAGAATGATCTCAGAAACCACGAAAATGGTAGACCACATAGGTCAGCTTTCCAAGAAGTGAAATAAGGGGTCAAAGAGGACAACACAATGAGAGAAAAAGCTAGCAGAGCTAAGCAAAAGACACAGAGAAAAAAAGATAAAACTGTAGCCAAAGTGAAAGCCACATGGAGGCCAAATCGAGGCCTAGAATCAACATCACAGGAAATGCAGTCAGTGAAAATGGGAGGTTAAGATTGGAGAAAAAACATCACACAGCAGGAAGAAAGACAAGGAGACCAAAAGGATCAAAGGAAAGATAAACGTGAAGGACAGAGAACAGAGAGCCAATATAGGGGCAAACTGCTGAACAAAGAACCAACAAATGGATAAGAAGTGAGAGAAGGTATGGATGTCAATGTCTGATGCTCATCACATACCAGAAAAAGCCAACAGATAACTGTTGGCTCCAAGATACACTCGACTGAAGTTACTGCATGTCAAGGACAAACATGAAATCACAAGTACTAGGGCCAATGAGCAGATCATCTACAAAAAAGGAAGAAAAATCTGTCTGGACTCAGCTCTCTCTGAACCACCAGACACTAGAAGACAATAGAGTGATGTCTCTAAAGAATCGAGGGAAAAAAAGACATGATCCAAGAATCTGATAGCCGGCCAAGTTACTGTTCATAAAAGACGCCAATAGAAAGGCATCTAAAATGATGCGAGAACACTCAACGGAAGCTGTAATCCCGTCCACCGAAAGATAAAAGCAACAACTCTCGAATGTGGAGTCTTTGTACGAGAGGGCTGGCAGTGAGCACTGCCTTCATTCAAACACAGAATTAAGCCTAAATAACTCCAGTAATTACCTACAGTTAGACACTTTCAAATCACCTGTCTTTCTAGGTAAAAGCTGCCAAATCCATTCGATGATCTCTAACTCTGCAAAATGACAACGCACAAAAGAGAACCTCTCCCAAATGAAATTCTCTGACACTAAAGAAAATTTTTGGTTTCTGTCTTACCCTTGAGGGTTAATATACTCAGGTAATTTCTCAAAAGAGATCATGCTAATTACCTGGGGCAGTGCTGATGAGCACAGGCCGAGGGCCAAGAAGACCCAGCTGCTAGCTTTGGTTCTTCCCTGCCACTGTGACGAACCACTGAACTGCTTTGGAACTTATATGAAAAACCGAGATAATACCTGCATGGTTCAGCGCACAGCAGCAAAAGGATCAAATGGGATGCTGTACGTCAAAGTTCTTTGGAATCTGTAAGCAAGGGTATAAAACCATGTTACCTGATTGGATGGAAAGAACCTACTATATTAAGGAGTCAAAATCAGTCATTCAGAGACAAAGAAAGGATCAGATGGCTCCCATGAATCCATCCCTAAGTCCATCCTTTCATGTCTCTCCATTTTCAAGTCATCTCTTAATACTTTTATAAAAAGGAAATTCTGTACTTTCACAGCTCCTTACCAGAATTATTTTTAATTTGAAAACAAAGATAATTTAAGAACTAAGAAAGATGCTGCCCACCATCCAAGGTAAATGTCTGTCCACTTCCATTCACTGACTCAGCTAATAGTCATTAAATCACCAACTATGTGCCAGACCCTGCTTCAAAAAGCAGATGCTTGAAATTGAGGAAATGACAGGGAAGTACAGGGGAATTGGGAGAACTAAACAAATTTAGCTGAAAAACGGTTAATGTCTATGTATATTACAACATGTAGAAAGGTGACCAGATACCTAGAGACAAAGCACAGCAAACAGAAAGGAGAAATGAATACTTAGGGTGGCTGAACTGTGTGAATGCAAGATGTTCCTGAAACTCTTCTTATGGCTGCTTTGGAACCAAAGTTAATTTCTTAATTCAGAAAACAAAGACACAATTAAAAAAAGAAAAAGAAAACCAAGACAGAAGAGGCAAGACTGTCCTGGAGTCAAGACGGTTAAGCCAGAACATACATCAGCAAAGGACTATCAATGAAGTCATTAAAACATTGAAAGACATCTTCAGTTTCAAAAAAGACCTGAAAAGAGAGGAATGTGATCCCCTCCAGTGTATCACACATAGAAGTGTAAAGGGCTGTGGCTGGAAAGGGAGGCCAAGGAAAAGGCTGAGAGACGAGCTGATATTCATAGGAAAGCTGGGGTCTTTAAATTCGAAGGCCATTTTTTTAACATCTTTATATCACATGGAACAGCCCCATTCCCAAGACACTGACTCGACCTTCAAAAAACAGGCCTCGATGCAGACCATCTCATTACTTGTATGTTGGAAGTAACGCTGGTCTTTTTCTTACCTGACTAGATTATGAGTTGCTTGATGAGAGCCTTCTAAGGATGGAAGAGATGAGGTCTTCCGAAAGACAAAGGAATCACCATGAGCTCAGGTAATGTAATGAAAGAGTATTAGCTTCAGTGGAACAAAGAGAACAGAGCTGTCCTCCATGCGCGTGCAGTGGGTCAGAACACGGCTCCATCCAGGGGAAAAGCCTACTGAGATGGCAGCGGCGAAAAGAGGGTTAGTACTGTCATATGTCTAGAGGAGGAGGAATACTTTATCAGTGACAGCTTTTAAATCAGTGGACTCAACACTTCACCACTGAATGGGAGAAACATTTATATGGATGTTAAAAGAGGGCAGAAGTCAAAGTAGATGATAAATATATGAAAAATATTAGTGAAGAGAAACACACCCTGCAAAGCTGTTTAAGTTGTGGATTTTAAATCCAGACTCTCAGATAGCTTGTGTTTCTAAGGGTAAACATGACACAATTCTAAAGCGGGCTAAACGTCATGAGAATATAAACAATGACGACCTGGGGCATGTTCCAAATAAACTAGAAAGAACTTTTCCCTTCGATGGCCTATTTTACACCTAGTAGAGTGCATCATACAGGGACTTAGAAAACTGCAAAGGAATATGATGTGACAAAAGGACCGTATTCAGTGGTAAAATTGTTACATGAGCATAAAAACTCCACTTCCCACTCTTTACAAACTTGATAATGACTTGAAGTTAGTTTTTCACTTAAGATCTTTGAAACCAAGCAGCTAAGTGAAAAATTCCAAGACAACTTTTGGAACACTTTAATCAACAGAATGGAAGTATACAAATGAATTTCAAAATGAAATCAATGCACCCAAGAGGGAGATCTAACATGAGAGTACCTACAGCTCACAATGAGAATCTGGTCAGATGGAAGAAGGCCAGAGTCCAAAGCAGAGAGTGAAGAGGGATGCGTAAGAGAGAGGAAGGGCTCTGGGACCGGAACATCAAGACGTGCTCATCTGATGTCTTCAAATTCCAGACTCCCCAAGGCCTTAGTTGGTGGTTTGGGACAAACATGGTATTTGGTTACAAAGAGCAGCAGTAGAGATCGGCTGTATCTGGAATGGTGAGGGAGGTGGGACATCTGGGGAGACTGTAGACAGTCTATGATAAAGAAGACGGAGGTATGAGGGCACAGGCACTAATAAGGCTCTGTGTCCCCTTACGACAGGCGCCAACCAAACCACAGCAATGTACTATGAAAAATGACTCAAGTTACTACTTTAGTGGAAGATATGAAGTAGCTACAGGAAACTTCCGTGGAAAAAGTCCAGCTTATATGGAGAAAAATACACATTCAAGCACTGGATTATCTATAGCGCCATATTCAGAATTGGTAGAGGAACGGAGCTCTTTCCGGGTGACTTGCAGAAGGCCATCTTTTCTCCATGGAGAGGACTGAAGCATTCAGTTCTTTACAAAGTTCTGTTAGTCTTCATCTTGTCCCTACAAAGAAAATAATGGGGACAGCCCCAGTGAGTTTATGAGGACAACCTTCTCTATTGTAACTGAGATGTACTCAGAACATTTAGTTACAGTGACAATTCAAAAACCCGTGTCTTATCTCAGAATTATTCTCTATAGTTACTACAGAAAAAGAATTGGCACTTAATGACATATATACACTAAAGCAGTTCTTTCCTCTCAGTGAAAAATCTGCTTAGAAATGAGGAACCACTGCAGATGGGCCTGGGGTTCCTTTGGGGGATGGTGAATATGGTCTAAAATCAGACAGTGGTAAGGAACACACCACCCTGGGAATTTACTAAAAAACACTGAGTTGTATGCTTTCAAAGAAGACTTTTATGGTATGTGAATTAAACCTCAATAAAGTTATACTTCAAAATCTGCTTAGAAAATAAATTTTCTTAGCATTTTTTGTTCACCTAATGAATTTACTATAACTACTAAATACTTCCCCAAGGTTGCCACCAATTATCCTATTTCTGTTAAGTGAACAATTTTCAGCGTCAGAGTAGCCATTTTAGAATCTTAAAAACTGCTTTCTGCTAACATTTGTTTGCCTAATAAGATATCAGAAATGAAGACTCAGGGACTTCCTTGGTGGTCCAATGGTTGAGACTCTGTGCTCTCAATGCAGGGGGCGTGGGTTTGATCCCTAGTCAGGGAACTAAGATGTTGCATGCTGCCCAGCATGATCAATAAATAAATAAATAAAATTTCCCCTAAATAATAATATATCATCCTTTATAAAAAAGAAATTAAGACTCATACTTGATTACAGTATACAACCTGCTAAACTATTTAAACGGGCTTTAAAACAATATTCAACTAAAGCCATCTTTTTACAATCCAACTGGACCTTAATGTTCATAAAGGCCGTTTTCTGTGCTACCCAAATAATTCCCCCTACCAGAGCCATCGCTGGAATTAACTGCTCATACTGATGCCCAATATACTACTCGACTTACACGAACTGAAAATGGAATCAAGGGAATTTGAGCCAGGTGTTTCAAGCTGATTTAGCTTAACCTTGGCCGGGTATGGTGTGTATATGTGTGTACACACACCTGTGTGCACGCTCACACTCATGTGCACAAAACAAACTCCTCTAAATTTCATCATTTGAGGTGAGTGACCAATGCAGCAACACTGCACAGAGGCCCATCACAATACTTCCAGAGGAAAAAAAGTAGCAATATAAATAACCTTTTACATCCTTCATCGGAAAAGACCAATGCTACTATAATGGTACAAAGTCACAAAGCTATATAAACTCTATTTGCCTACAAATACCTGTCTGTTGCACTGTGTTAGGAATCAAGGTTTTCAGAGTAAGAGGAAATATATACAATTAAAATAGATTAGGGAGGAATATTACAATGTCAAGAGAGAATTAAAAATCAACATGAGCTTACATATCTTAAATCATGTTTTATAGGTCTGTCCAGAAAAGAAGACTAAAAAAGATGTCATGTATACCTCCAGCTCCCAGATTAGGGTCTCTAATACCAACTAAAAGTAAACAGGAGTCTTAGTATGAGATGAACTTAGGACATCCTCTTGGGCCAGAAAGCAAGGAAACTTTCAAAGACCAACAGGATTTCACCAATGGAACATAAAGGATCTGGCTTGAAATAGCTTCCAATGGCCAAAGGTGTGCCAATTTTAGCATCAAAAAGATGGCCACTACATGCAGTGACAGGGTGAACCTCACAGAGAAGACGGCCAGACACAAAAAGAGCATGCACTGTATGTTCCATTTATTTTAAATTCAAGAAGAGGAGAGAGTCAGATATAGTGATAGGTGATAGAGTTGAAGTAATGGTTACATGGTGGGGAGGGAAAAAGGAGAAGAGTGTGACTAGAAAGTGGCCTTTTCAGGTCCTGGAGATACAGATGTAAAAATTCATCATGTTACAAACTTTATATCTGTACACTTTTTACGTATATGTTAAATACTGACCAAAATACACCAACAAAGCAATAAAAATCTACAACATCCATAAAACTACTTAAAAAAAAGGAAGGCTGAAACTCACCCATCACCATTTAAGGTGGTTTCTAACTCAACCTCGTCCTGGAAAATTTGCAATTTAAAAGAAAGATTTAAATGCCTATCCTGCCTTGCCAGGAGGAACTATACTTCAGAAGGTAGCTAAATGACCTTAGTTGATGAGGAAAAACTTGATAGGAGAATGTCAGCTAATTGTCAAAGGAATGACACTAACAAAAAACTCTTCATTTTATAAACATTAACAAAATTACTGATTCAGGCCCAATTTTTCAACTAGTCTTAATAACCCCTAAGTGATGGTTGTATGGTGCCAAAGTAACACTACGCAGATCACTTTCTGATTAAGACAGGAAAATTAACCACATCGTGGAGGGACCAGACAGTCACCATCTGAATTATGGGCAGCCTTAACATTACTAACACTGGATCAACCGAACTGCATGGGTCTCAGAGTGTAATTCTGCATCCATATTTATGAAATATTCTAGCAAAAAAAAATGCTCCAATGAGCCTTCAGCTTCCAGTTTACAGGAGAGCCAGGGTTACAAAGAAAAAAAATCAAATCAAGGTGGGACATTTTTGCAGGACAATGGGTATGGTCTTTCAATAACAAAAAATTGTTCTACATTAAAATCTAGAGACCTACTCAGATGTGTTATGTGGTACTAGAATCAATCTGTCTTTGGGACAAATCAGGGGAAATTTCATGATGAAAATATAATGACATGGAAAGATGGAGATGGTTAAATGAAATAAAACTAGGCTGCACAACAGTATGAAAAGTATGATCTCATTGGGGAAAAAATACATATACATATATACATACAAATAGTAAAACACCTGGAAGGACAGAGATAAAGCTCTAAGAATGGTAATCTCTAGGTTACGAGAATACAAGAGTTTCTCTTTTTTTGCTTATTTGTATTTTATAACAGTGTACATATACTACTTTTTGATTACTAAAACATTACTTTAAATTAAACAAATAAGCAGAACCCTTACTGTTGCTAGTAGAGTTGGAGTTTAAAGGTCGTCAGAAGAAAGAAAACTGGAAACCAAAGACTGGGTTATTTATTGTCGTTATTACCACAAAGTATTAAAACTTGTTATTCTGTGATTGATCATTTTCTTCACTTTTTTTATTGTGGTAAACTATATGTAAAGTTTACCCTCTGGTTAAGATGGAAAAAAAAATATTTTATTAAGTGTACAGCTCAGCAGCATTCAGTACACTTACAGTGTTGTACCACCATCCATCTCCAGAACTTTTGCATCTTTCTCCAATGAAACTCTGTCCTCTTAAACACTAAATTTGCTTTTCCCTTACTCCCCAACCATGGCAACCACCGTTCTACTTTCTTCAGGTGCCTTACATAAGTTGAAGCATACAGTATCTGTTCTTCGGGGTCTGGATTATCTCACTTACCATAATGACTACAAGGTTTATCTATACTGTAGCATGTCACAACTTTATTCCTTTTAAGGGCTGAATAATAATAATTGGTTATATGGATAAACCCATTGTTTACCTTGATTGATAATTTTTTTTATTTTTCTGGTTTCAATACATCTACAGACTTTCTCTAAACATTCTTCTGTCAATTCTATGGATGATGACAAACTGAATTACTTTTTAAATAAGATTCGTGGCAAGATACAGACCCTGCTTACTGCTTTTAAAATAACCTACATAGGGCAAGGACTCCCAGAACATCAGGTCCTCTACTGAAATGGCTACTCTGGTGACCCAGTTCTTGCTATCCTTCCTGTCTGGGGTGAAAAAATACTCCCATCTTTCTTTAAGGATCACTTTGCTTTTCCAGTGGCAAAACCACAAAGATGTGGCTGAAAATATCAATCGTCTGGCTGGTAGACTCTGAAGAAAAATCAGATATTTTGTAATAGAAAGAAAAGTAATCTTTGTCTCTTTTCACAGCCTTTATTTGAAAGTCTATTTTATCTGATATGAGTATTGCGACTCCTGCTTTCTTTTGGTCTCCGTTTGCGTGGAATATTTTTTTCCAGCCCTTCACTTATTTCAATGTATGACAAAAACCACTGCAATGTTGTAAAGTAATTAGCCTCCAACTAATAAAAATAAATGGAAAAAAAAAAAAGAAAAGTAATCAATTACTGTTTTGCCTTGTATTTGGAAGCATCCCGGGGCTCACTGCTGGGATTGCTCCAATCGTCAGCTTCAGCTGTGCTCTTGTAATGGCGCCATGCGGACTTGTTAAAAACCGGAAGTCTCTCAAATGATTCGCTTGAAAGGGCCTAAGGAGAGAAACAAAGATGTATACTAAAGGTCTACAGTGTCATCTTGCTCATGTGAAATACTAACTCAAATTTTACTATACAAAGCATCAGAAACCTTAATGTGGAGGTATACTAAAGTTACATTTTAGCATTTTACTTAGACTGGACAGGTTGAAATTAAAGTTTTTTTTAAAGGAATAAAAACATTCACTCATGAAAAACCAGTAAACATGACGAGAACAAAAATCATCTTCGTTCAGTTAATACTGATAAAGATATCCAATTGTCTTAGACCAAACACTATTGTCTACTGGGTAAATGCTCTCCCAGAGGGCCCTGAAGAAATAAAGTTTCACAGTAGATTTATAAATATAAGCTCATAAAGTGATATCAAATAGCATATCATTTCTATGTATTGGCATATAAGATAAACACCCCAAATAAAGGGTTATTTTATGATATAACATATAAAACACTACACAGCTGTTAAAAGGATGAGCCATGGAGAAGGAAATGGCAACCCACTCCAGTATTCTTGCCTGGAGAATCCCATGGACAGAGGAGCCTGGCAGGATACAGACCATGGGGTTGCAAAGAGTCTGACATGACTAAGCGAATAAGACTTTCACTTCTGTACTGTATTATATTACATTAAAAATATAATCTCTGTGGTCATCATTTATATTACCCAAAGATAAATTTCTACTTTCCTTTCATAAAAAGGGACAAATTGTCTACATTACTTAATAGAAAAAAAAGTATGCCAAAAAAAAAAAGGATGAGCCAGTTCTATGTGAACTGATATGGCAGTATCTCCAAGATATATTGGAAAGTAAAAAGAAGCAAAGTGCTAAAATAATCACTGGTGTGAAAAAAATTAATTATCTCTCCATATGTTTATCAATACAGAATCAACTTCTAAGAGGATTCACATGAAACTGGTACCCATGGTCACCCCAGAAAAGAGAACCCAGCGGCTCTGGGCCAGTAATGGGAGACAGTTTTCCCTTTCACAGCTTTAAAATTTCATACAGTGTGCCCGTATAACGTAATCAAAAAGTACTCCAAATATTCTAGAGTTTCAGTTCAGTTCAGTCGCTCAGTCGTGTCCAACTCTTTGTGACCCCATGGACTGCAGCACGCCAAGCTTTCATGTCCATCACCAACTCCCGGAGCTTGCTCAAACTCATGTCCATTGAGTCAGTGATGCCATCTAACCATCTCATCCTCTGTTGTCCCCTTCTCCTTCTGCCTTCAATCTTTCCCAGCAACAGGGTCTTTTCAAATGAGTCAGTTCTTCACATCAGGTGGCCAAAGTATTGGAGTTTCAGCTTCAGCATCAGTCCTTCCACTGAATATTCAGGACTGATTTCCTTTAGGCTGGACTGGTTGGATCTCCTTGCAGTCCAAGGGACTCTCAAGAGTCTTCTTCAACACCACGGTTCAAAAGAATCAATTATTTGGCGCTCAGCTTTCTTTACAGTCCAACTCTCACATCCATACATGACTAATGGAAAAACCATAGCCTTGACTAGATGGACCTTTGTTGGCAAAGTAACGTCTCTGCTTTTTAATATGTTGTCTAGGTTGGTCATAACTTTCCTTCCAAGGAGCAAGTGTCTTTAAATTTCATGGCTGTAGTCACCTTTGTAGTGATTTTGAAGTGAAAGAAAATAAAGTCTGTCACTGTTTCCATTGCTTCCCCATCTATTTGCCATGAAGAGATGGGACCAGATGTCATGATCTTTGTTTCTTGAATGTTGAGTTTTATGCCAGCTTGTTCACTCTCCTCTTTCACGTTCATCAAGAGGCTCTTTAGTTCCTCTTCACTTTCTGCCATAAGGGTGATGTCATCTGCGTATCTGAGGTTATTGCTATTTCTCCTGGCAATCTTGATTCCAGCTTGTGCTTCCTCCAGCCCAGCGTTTCTCATGATGTACTGTGCATATAAGTTAAATAAGCAGGGTGACAATATACAGCTTTGACTTACTCCTTTTCCTATTTGGAACCAGTCTGTTGTTCCATGTCCAATTCTAACTGTTGCTTCCTGACCTGCATACAGATTTCTCAAGAGGCAGATCAGGTGGTCTGGTATGCCCATCTCTTTCAGAATTTTCCACAGTTTGTTGTGATATTCCAGAGTTTAGAAGTAAATAAAAGCTTGATACCACCACTGAATGAGAAAACTTATATTACAGAGAACTTTGTTATCTGATCAGACTTTTAGGTAAACATATTATAAGCACTGAAATCTTGCAACATTAAGCCAGCAAGTTTCTAAAATAAAAGACTTCAGTTTATGAAAATCTGTCTTTTAAATGAGTCCTTTTAATGGATATGCAAATTTTTTTAAAATCACAACTTAGAATTAAGGTTTTTAAAAATCAGTATTTAAATTTTCATATCTCCATATTTCCTATTTTGCTCTGAGCATAAAATCAAGGGTAGGTCATAACTTGGTTTTCACGTAAAAGTGAAGTAAATCCTAGTTGACTATAAGGATTCATATATATATATATATATATAATCATATATATGTGATTATTCATATATTCATATATATAATATGAGATGATGATTCAGTGCTAATCTGCTTTAGTTATTAGACATCTAGGTTGCTCTCATGTCCTGGCTATTATAAACAGTGCTGCAATGAACACTGGGGTGCTTTAGTTATTAGAACTTAACAGCTTTAAAAAGTAAAGATGCTTTCCTGTAACAGAAATAAAATGCAGTACCTTTAAATAAATGACAGCATCAGTACCCACGCCTTCCATAGAATAGAGTTTTAGATCTCCTTGAAAATATCTAGCGTATAGACGAGAAATTGGCAAGCCATAACCAAATCCAGCCTATTGAGAAAAGAAAATACACTGAGAAAGGCACAAAATGCTAACACGTTGAGTCTGAGGACCATCTGAAAGATCAGAATCAATTCTTGATTCATATTTAAAGCAAATACATGACCCAACCCATACTATGACGTACATAGACTCATCTATGGCAAACAATCTATTTTCATCCTCCAAAAATATTTTTCACATGTTTGGAAAAGAAAAGAAACACTCCTGTTTTGCTAATGCTTTTTTTTAACATCACAAATAATGCTTTTAATTATTTAGCTTCTTATAGTACTCATATAACAGAAACTGACAAATCCATGTTGTCATTAGTCACTAAGTCAAGTCTAACTCTCTTGCAATCCCATGGACTATAGCCCGTCAAGCTCCTCTGTCCATGGGATTTCCCAGGTAAGAATACTGTAGTGAGTGGGTTGCAATTCCTTCTCCCAGGAGACTAATGCTTTTTGAATGTTTTAAAGCAATTATTTAGCATTGTTTAAAAACAAATCCCAAATCAAGTGGAATTTGAACTGGGAAGTCAACTAAACCATATCATTCCAGAGTTCTATTAACTGATTTCTTTGCTCTTTATAGTGAACATTCAATTGAGTAGCACAGGAGTTGAAACCTACCAGTACCAAGGCTAATGCAATGAAAAGAAAGTGATCTCCTAAGGGCTACTTTCTAAAGTTGTGGGAACACTACAGTATTTTGACATGTGGTCGTCCATATACTTTTAGAGACAAGAAAGCAATGCCAGTACCCTCCTGTATCTCTGTGTCATAGAACCCTGACTGTAACAGGTTGGGGGGGGGGGGGAGTCTCCGATATTGACAAGAATAAGAACAATTGGGTCTAATTTCAAAAACTCTGGGTTGGAGAGGAAGGGGCTGTTCCTCAAGCTTTGCCCCTCTGATTAAGTCCACCAACAGGTTAGTGAAGGAGGCAGTGGGCAAACACACAACAGTGGTTGGGTGGGCTTTAGGATCAGACAGGTGAAATCCACTTTTTGTGCAACTAGCAGTTTGCTCAACCTAAGACTGTTTTCTCATCCGAAAAATGTAATAAAAAGCTTACCTAAGAGCTGTTGTAAGAATTAAATGATATAAGGAGTGTAGTAAGCATTAAATGATATAAGGAGTGTAAAGTCTTGGGACAGTGTCTAAGACACAGCAGAAAGAAATGCAAGCTGCTATGACGGCTACCACACAGCAGTAATTTTACTAAGTTCTGCAGCTTTCAACTGCTTTCTTACAGCTTTCCTAGATTCCCTCCTTGGGGTTAGGGCCTAACTCAAGGGTTGGGTGTGATAGAGTGCACCATCATGGAAGGACTGCAGGACAGGCAGAACATGGCCAGGAGCAAAGACAAGACAGCCGAAATGGTGACTGAGGTCACCACAGCAAAGAAATCAGCGGACTCTGGAAGAGGCTGAGGAAACCTGCCTCCTCCAGTCCAGCAAGGCCCGGAGCCGGCTCCCAGGGAACAGCTGAAAACACCTGAGCCCGATGCAGTCATAAGTGTGAGGAGATGGGGCAGCCCAGGGTCCCATGGAATGCAAAGGAGGGGCCTCTACCTCAGATTTGGTCAGGTTCTGGAAAGTTTTCCCAGGGTGTCAAAGGATCAATAGGAGTTGGCTGGGATGACATTTCCGAAAAAGAAATGCGTGTGTCACAGCACAGGGCTGTAACACACTAAGGTATTTGATGATGAAATTACATTTCCTAGTAGTACATACCCACATGCCTGCTTACAGGCTGAGAAGAGCTAACTGGGAGACATGCTAGTGGAAGCATTTCTTCAAAAGTAGAGCCACACAGCACACTGGAAAGAATGCAGACAGATATGGCCAGTGCTGGCTTGACCATCATGAGCTCAATGACCTTGGGCAAAGAGGTCATCTCATTTCCTCATCTATAATATGTGAGGTTGGATGCACACTTTTTAAAACTCTTACTTTAATTGCTCAGTTTCATGAAAAAAAAAAAAAAAAAAGATATCACAGCTGTCCTCAAGATGCTATTTTGAGACCTGGAAGAGATGATCCATATTCCTTTTAAAAACTGGTGAAGGCTCTAGATTTGCTTGTGGCATTTTTGTTTTCCTTTTGACATTTGTTTAAGTAGGTACCAGAAACTAGTCAAGGTGATGGGTTTCGAAACTGATCTCTCAAATATTTTCTTGAATCCTATATAAACGACTTCCTCTCTGTTTTCAATATGCTATGTTAACAAACTCTGTCTTGAATAAATGATGCTAAGTGCTGGATTTTATTCATACAAATAAAACATAATCTTATGTGCTTATCAGGCAGGTAAGACTTGAAAATGAAAATGTACACCCTGAACTATTTCGCAGAATGATAGCTATGTTGCTGTGTTTAATGACAAAGGGTTCAATTGTTGTTTGTCAATTAGAAACACTCAGCTGGGGAAGAAAGTGTGGCCCTACCAGGATCTAAATGCTGCCATGGTAACCAGAGGCTTTCCTCACTGCCTTAATAGAGCTGAAGATTATTTCCACAGTGAGACAGAAAAGGCTCTGAAAATGCATACACAACCTATATGTTTCCTGCTTATGGTATTTCCTGTAAAAAATGTAATGTGTTCATAATTTAACATTTAATTATATAAACAAATTTGGCGGGGGAAGTTCAAAGGCCCTGGCTGATCCAAGCCTCAGAGGTATGCAGCGCCCAGGGCCTGCTGCAGCCAGACATATGGTGCTGTTCCCCGTTCACCTGCTATTAAACTTCCACCCCCGCCAAGGGGAATGCCAGGTGGTAAATGGTGCTCTGGCAGCAGTCTTAACCATGATGCTTTTCTCTCCATTGGGAAGGTAGGCACTCAGCTCTGAGTGTTTTTTACACACAAATTAGAGAAGAAATCTGAGGCCAAAAGAGTCATAAAGAAAGTAGCAGTAGCATAAAACTCCCCCACCTTCAAACCAGGTGGAAAACATTCAAATTCAACAAGGCTAACGCAACACCCTGGGGAAACAGCCCGCCCTGTCCCTTCTCGTGTTAATGGTCCTTCCTCCAGCAACAGCCTGAGAGGCTTACCAACGGGGCGGCTCGAGTAGGCTCCAGGCTAGGTCTCGGAGCAGTTGAATACATGTAGTTAAAAAGGCGATCTATTTTTCGGAGTGGAACTCCACCACCTAGGTCACTTATCTGTAATGTACAAAAACATTAAAAGAAGAAAAAGTCATCATCAATATACTTAGCAGGTGGCAAGGAGTTCATTACATAAAGTACACGCCAGATTACTCTAAACTGTGCAAGGGCTTCAACCCCCAAAGAAATATGGTCCCTTTGTGAATAGTATAAAACAAAGGAGGCGGGCAACTGGGGTCAGCATCCAACAGACTTGGGTTTGAGATCTTGATCAGCTCCATAAAAATGGGGTTCTAATGAAGTTAAACAAGGTAACTTAAGCCAAGGATCTAATGTAGTACTTACAAATAAAAACTCCCAAACTCATTCTACAAGGCCACCATCCTCCTGATACCAAAACCACAGGCCAATATCAATGATGAACATAGATGCAAAAATTCTCAACAAAATTCTAACAAACAGAATCCAATAACACATTAAAAGGATCATATATCATGATCACATGGGTTTTATTCCAGGGATGCAAGGATTCTTCAATGTTTGTGAATCAATCAATGTGATATACAATATTAATAAACTGAAATATGAAAACCATATGATCATCTCAGTAAATGCAGAGAAACTCTTTGATAAAATTCAATACTCATTTATGATAAAAACTCTCCAGAAAGGAGGCATAGAAGGAATCTATCTCAACATAATGGGTTTCCATGGTACCTCAGATGGTAAAGAATATGCCTGTAACGCAGGAGACCTGGGTTCGATCCCTGGGTTGAGAAAATCCCCTGGAGGAGGCCATGGCAACCCACTCCAGTATTCTTGCCTGGAGAATCCCCATGGATAGAGGAGCCTGGCGGGCTACAGTCCATGGAGTCAGAAAGAGTTGGACACGACTGAATGACTAAGCACAGCACAGTACATCTCAACACAATAAAAGCCATATATGACAAACCCACAGCAAACATTTCTCTCAATGGTAAAAAAACTGAGAGCATCTCCTTTAAGATCAGGAACAAGATAAGGGTGCCCACTCTTGCCACTATTATTCAACACAGTTTTGGAAGTCCTAACCATGGCAAGCAGAGAAGAAAAAGAAAAGGAATCCAGATCGAAAAAGGAGAAGTAAAACTCTCACTGTTTGCAGATGACATGATACCATACATAGAAAACCCTAAAGATGCCACCAGAAAATTACCAGAGGTAATCAATTAATATAGTAAACTCACAGGATATAAAATTAATACAGAGATCATTTCTATTCCTATCAGCTAACAATGAAAAATTGGAAAGAGAAATTAAGGAAACAACTCCATTCACCACTGCAGCAAAAAGAATAAAATACTTAGGAGTAACCCTAAAGAGATAAAAGACCTGTATGCAGAAAACCGTAAGACACAGATGAAAGAAATCAAAGACAACACAAACAGACAGAGAGATATACCATGTTCTTGAATTGGAAGAAACAATACTGTGAAAATGACTATACTACCCAAAGCAATCTACAGATTCAATGCAATTCCTATGAAACTCCAATGGTATTTTTCAAAGAACTAGAACAAAAATATTTCACAATTCATACGGAAACACCAAAGACCCTGAATAGCCAAAGCAATCTTGAAGAAAGGAAAATGGCACTGGCGGAATCAACTTTCCAGACTATACCACAAAGCTAGTCATCAAAACAGTACAGTACTGGCACAGAAACAGAAATACAAACCAATGGAACAAGACGCAAAGTCTAGAGATAAACCCGCATGCCTATGGGCACCTTATCTTTGACAAAGGAGACAAGAATACATGATGGAGAAAAGACAGTCTCTTCAGTAATTGCCGCTGAGAAAACTGGACCCCTACATGGAAAAGAATGAAACTAGAACACTTCCTAACACCATACAAAAAATACACTCGAAATGGATTCAAGACTTAAATATACGGCCAGAAACTGTAAAGCTCTTAGAGGACAACACAGCAAGATCTGACATAAATCACAGCAAGATCCTCTTTGACCCAGCTCCGAGAATAAAAATAAACAAATGGGACCTCATGAAACTTAGAACCTTTTGCTCAGCAAAGAAAACAATAAACAAGATTAAAAGACAACCCTCAGAGTGGGAGAAAATAATTTCAAACAAAACAGCTGACAAAGGACTAATCTCCAAAATATATAAGCAGCTCGTACAGCTCAATATCTGAAAAACAAAGAGCTTAATCAAAAAACTGGCAGAAACAGCAAAGGAAAACTACAAACAAGGTGAAAGGACAACCCTCAGAATGGGAGAAAATAGCAGCAAATGAAACAACTGACAAAGAATTAATTTCCAAAACATACAAGCAGCTCATACAACTCAATACCAGAAAAACAGCCCAATCAAAAAGTGGTGAAAAGACCTAAAAAGACATTTCTCCAAAGAAGATATACTGATGGCTAGCAAACACATGAAAAGATGCTCAACATCACTCATTATTAGGGAAATGCAAATCAAAACTACAATGAGATACCACCTCACACCAGTCAGAATAGCCATCATCAAAAAGTCTACAAACAATAAATGCTGGAGAGGGTGTGGAGAAAAGCGAACCCTCTTGCATTGCTGGTGGGAATATAAACTGATAGTCACTATGGAAGACAGTATGGAGCTTCCTTAAAAAGCTAGGAATAAAGTGAAAGAGGAGAGTGAAAAAGTTGGCTTAAAACTCAACATTCAGAACACCAAGATCATGGTGGCAAATAGATGGGGAAACAATGGAAACAGTGAGAGACTTTAATTATGGGGGCACCAAAATCACTGCAGATGGTGACTGTAGCCATGAAATCAAAAGACACTTGCTCCTCAGAAGAAAAGCTATGACCAACCTAGACGGCATATTAAAAATCAGAAACATTACTTTGCCGACAAAGGTCCATCTAGTGAAAGCTATGGTTTTTCCAGTAGTCACATATGGACGTGAGAGTTGGACTATAAAGAAAGCTGAGTGCTGAATAACTGACGCTTTTGAACTGTGGTGTTGGAGAAGACTCTTGAGAGTCCCTTGGACTGCAAGGAGATCACACCAGTCTATTCTAAAGGAAATCAGTCTTGAATATTCATTGGAAGGACTGATGCTGAAGCTGAAACCCCAATACTTTGGCCACCTGATGCGAAAACCTAGAGCCTATTATACAGAGTGAAGTAAGTCAGAAAAGAAATATAAATATCACATACTGACACATATATATGGAATCTAAAAAAATGGTACTGATGAATTTATTGTCAGGGCAGCAATGAAGAAACAGAGAACAGACCTATGGACACAGGGAAGGGAAGGAGGGAGAGGATGAGATGTACGGACAGAGGAACATAAAAACTTACAATACCATGTGTAAAATAGATGGCCAATGGCAATTTGCTATATGACTCGGAACTCAAACAGGGGCTCTGCGACAGTCTAGAAGGATGGGGTGTGAAGGCAGATGGGAGGGAACTTCAGGAGGAAGGGGACATTGGTGTACCTATGGCTGATTCTTGTTGATGTATGACAGAAAACCACAAAATTCTGTAAAGCAACTATCCTTCAATTAAAAAAAAAATGGGCAGAAGACCTAAACAGATTACTCCAAAGAGGACATATAAACGGTCAATAGACACATGAAAAGATGCTCAATATCACTAATTATTAGAGAAATGTAAATCAAAACTACAATGAGATTATCATCTCACACCAGTCAGAATGGCCATCATCAAACAATAAATGTTGGAGATGTGGAGAAAAGCCCTATTGCACTGATGGTGAGAATGTAAGTTGATACAGCCAGTATGGAGAACAGTGTGAAGACTCCTTAAAAAACTAGGAAATATAACTACCATATGAACCAGAAATCCCACTGCTGGGCATATACCCTGAGAAAACCGTTATAGAAAAAGACCCATGTACCCTAATGTTCATAGCGGCACTATTTGCAATAGCCAGGACATGGAAGCAACCTAGATGTCCATTGACAGATGAATGGATAAAGAAGATGTGGTACATATATACAACGGAATATTACTCAGTGATAAAAAAGACACTCAATGCCAGTTCTCTTTCCTTCCCTTTGATTCTTCAATGTCTACACACCATGAAGCTAACTGATATTCAAGTGTATGTACAAATAAAGCAGTTACCTTAATGGATAAGTCTTCTTTACCCAGAGTAACCAGGGTTTTAACAGCTGGGTAGCCCTCTTTTCTATCTTCATATAGTTCAACTGTTGCTCTCATTGAGTTCTGAAATCACAGAGCCTTTTTAGTGTGACACCAATTCACAAACTACTACTTTAAAGAAATTAGCAAAAATTTACCAACACACAACAATTCTTTTGTGGGGCAAATATTAGTTGGATTTCTATGGCACTTTTTTCTCCCTCTAAAGAATTAAACATGTGTTCAGATCAAGGAAAAATTTTGTGATGCTTTGTTGTTTCATCTCATTTCAGTCTCATCCACCTTACTAAATGCTTATTTTTCTTTCCTTCCTTTTTTTCTTTTTGTTTTTGCTTTAGGCTACTTAAATTATTCAACTTTTAACCAAGAGAGATGTTTTTATCACGTGTAATGAGGCTGTAAATAAAGGCTCACTGACGCACTTTAAATTCGATTATCAGTCTGCATTTACAGAGCACTCTTCCTCTAAAGAAGGTGGAAAACCTGAGAGGATTTGGCTTCCCACAAAAATAAATCATTTGGCTGGGGAAAAAAAGTCAAAGAAATGTCAAGTGAAAAGAAATTCTGAAAAAGCCACAGCTTTTGAAGAACAAGTTCACAACTGAATGCCCATCTCAACCTTAAGTGTCACATCAGTTACATTATAATTTGGGGAATCAAATCAGCATAACTGATTTTTCTGGTGTTCAGTTTAGGGTTTTACACATTGGAAGAAATGGAATCTTACTCAAATGCCTTGTGTTTGAATTGTAATACTGCTACTTACATGCCATTAGCTACAGGTTAATAAAAGTAACAGTTTAAGTTGTAGAGAGTCTCTTTTTTTTCTGTTTTTTTAATGTGTGTGGGGGGGTTCTTTTTGGTCCAGCCCTTCCACATCTTTGCCCTCTGCCTCTATCAGAGCTTCTGAATTTTCTAAAATGTCTCAACTGTGTAAGGGTGTTAACATATCTTTCAGGACTGGAACAATTGCTAATGCATCAATATGGTTAACACTCAGAAACATAAAAGAGGTGTAAACATGTTGTTATTTTGATCTGGCTATCAATCATCAAGCTTTTGCCAGGTTGGAAACTAAAAAGCATCTCTAAGTTCATATCTAAAGAAAAAACAGTATGGATTTTACATAAAGTCAAAATGGTACAATTAAGTTTCAAAATCAATATGTACCAATAATCACAAAAACTATAGTGTACATAGCAATTTTTCATCTCAGTGTACAAATTATAAAACCCACAGGATATCAGAAATAGAATTTTTAAAATGGTTATGCAAAACCTTTTTCTTATGCTAATCTAATGAATCCAATACGCCCTGAATCAAAGTAATTTAAAATGAAGACTTCTTTCCATATTTTCAAATTCCACTTACCTTGAACAACTCAAAGAGCATGTGAAAGAGGTGTGAGGGCACATAAACTACCTGAATAGGCTTGTTTGGAGCTTTGGCTGAAAACAGAGACAAAACCGTCAATGAGTAAGGACCAAGATTAGAAGAAAGTCAAGAATGTTGTTGCATTCTTACTTCCAAGTACATAAAAAAGAAAGCTACAAAAAGTTAGTGGAGGCTTCCAACTTGAAAGGCGGGATGAAATTCTGCTCCTTCACTTACCAGCTATATGACCTCAGGCAAATTTTTCTCTTTGGAACTTAAGTTGAGCAAAACTGGAATATCATTACCTATGTCCTAATGCTCTGAGCATTACATAAGGGCACCCGAACATCCCCTGCATGGTGCATGCTTAGTCACTCAGTCACGTCCGACTCTTGGCAACCCCATTGGGTGTAGCCGGCCAGGCTCCTCTGTCCATGGGATTTCCCAAGCAAGAATACTGGAGTGGGTTGCCATGCCCTCCTCCAGGGGATCTTCCCAACCCAAGGATTGAACCTGTGGTTCTTGTGTCTCCTGCACTGGCAGGCAGACTCTTTATCACTGAGTCGCCATGGAAGCCCTCAAGTATCTCTTGGTATTTCTCAAAATGGGGGCTACTCTCCACCACCACCAGTGACCCCAGTGGTCAGCCAGGGGGATGTGAAACCACATGGCAAAGGGGGCACATCCTCTTGGAGAAAAGGATGAAATAGGAACATTAAGTTCTGTTAAACTATGACAAACAAGGCATGCTACCAGCAGCTAGCAGACCAACCACCAGAGACCTACAGTCCTTTCTCCTTGTGTCAGAGACGTTCTGAGGAAAATCTGTGAAACCCCGAATCCCAGCATAGGCTCGGGAGGAGATACTGGACAATTTAGGCTTTCCTCTTCCTCATGACCCGGAATCATTAAGAGATCCACACTGCATAAACTTTCTCAAGTAGAAATGTTATGATTTCAACTTAACTACTTCCTCTACTAAAGCAAGTAATTAACAGTAATATAAAGGAGAGTGAGCATTTGTTTGAGTCTGAGCAGTTTACAAAGAGCTTGCAAATTCATTACTCAACTGAACTCTCGTGACGAGAGAAGTTGAGAAGTGCTTCCTTTATGTGAAAATGTGAAAGTTCTCTACTTAATAAGGAAAGGGGAGAAAGAAATCTGTGCTATAATAGTTTTGCTGTCACACCTCAAATTGCGAAAGTATCACATGGCTGTAGAGTACGGTACATACTTAGTTAAATGTACTCTGGACATTTCTACATTTTGAGAAAGACCACATTCACATAACTTATATTGGAGTATATTGTTATAACTTTTATTATCAGTTATTGTTAATCTCTTTCTGTGCCTAATTTTAAGTTAAAATTTTATTATAGGTGTGGATGTATAGAAAAAAACAAAGTATATAAACAGGGTTTGGTACCATCTGTGGCTTCAGGCATCCACTGAGGGTCTTGGAATGTATCCCCTGTGGAAAAGGTAGGACTACTATACTAATGATTTTTTAAATTTTTAAAAGAAGAGAAGTAAAAGTTGCTGCACCCTTTTCCCATCAGTCTGCACACAGAGGCAGTTTCAATACTATGTATGCTTCAGTCTTTCGGTTCGTGTTTTTTCCATTCTATTCTGTAACCCTAATGAACTCTTAGGTACTTTGTCTACAGGCTCTTTTTTAAAGGCTGTAATTAGAAAAGATGCAAGCACCCCTATGCTCACAGCAGCACTATTTACAGTAGCCAAGAAATGGAAACCTAAATGTCCATGAACAGATAATGAAGATACAGTACATACATCCAATGGAATGCTATTCAGCCAAAAAAAAGAATGCAACAATGCCATTTGCTACAACATGGATGCAACTAGAGATTGCATACTAGATTTTCATACTAAGTGAAGTCAGAGCAAGACAAATATCATATGCTATCACTGATTTGTGGACTCTAAAAAATGATATCAATGAACTTACTTACAAAGCAGAGAGAGATTCACAGACATAGAAAACAAATTTATGATATATGCAATATGGAAAATAAAAAAGCAAACTTATGGTTACCAAAGGGGAAAGTGGGTAAGGAGGGATAAATTAGGAGTTTGGGATTAACATATACACACTACTATATATAAAACAGATAACCAACAAGTATCTACTCTATAGCACAGGGAGGTACACTCAATATTTTATAATAAGCTATAATGGAAAATAATCTGAAAAAGAATATACACACATATATAACAGAATCAGTTGAAACTCACACAACATCAACTGTCTCAATAAAAATTAAAAAAAAATAAAGTGGATTTCCTGTAAAAAGTATATATGTTGGTAACATAACCAGATAAATATTGCTCACTTCAGCGTGGCCACAGGAATATACCAGAATGACGGCTCCATCCCTATAAGTCCAATGTGTCATGAGTCATGCATCATTGGAAGGAGAATGTTCTCAGGCTTAAGATGAAATGGATTCACTTTATCCACTTCCAACTGCTCAAAATCATGATACCTTTCTAGGTTGCCAAATGTTTGGACTGTGTATTTCTGATACAGCTTGATGTATTTCCTAGAGTTTCTAACTCCTCCTCCTCTTGGGTAACTGGACAAGAGATGTAACAGACTGCTTTCTAAACATGCTGCACAGCCATCACTTCAACTGTTTTTGACTGAAGTTCTAGAATGTTGTCTGCTATCTCTTATATCTACATTATACACACCATTTGGTAAGTCACATAACCTACCTCAGAAAGCTATTCATGGGAGACACATTTCTCCATCTTTATACCTCTGATTCACTTGATTGGAGGTTTAACTAGGTACACCATTTGGGTTCGAAATCATTTTCTTTTGGCATTTAGAAAGGCAGGGGGGTCTTCTGATCAGGACAATGCAGCTGAGAAGTTCAATGCCAAGTCAGGTTTTCATTCATGCTTCTGGTATTTTGCCCAAAGTCTGATTTACCTTGGTTGTGATATTCTTGTTGAAGAATGAGGAACTGGGTTATTCATTTCAGGGAGCTGGTGTTGACTTCCCCTGGCAGCTTGCCACTAAGTTGGAAGGCTGACTTGAAGCTCTGAGTGCCTGGTCAAGACTTTTCCACTGGCTTTAGGATGAGCAGACACCCAGCCAGCCTCTGACTGGAGGTTCCCCCAAATGTTTGAATGGAGAGGGCTTTACTTTGGGAAAAGTTACACGAACAGCCCTAGTTTTTCCCAGGTTGTTCTGGAAGAAACTATTTTCATTGTTTGCTCCAGGGAAAATGCTAGTGGCTGTCAGCAGGAGAGCAGAGCCAGAGTCAAGCTGCTCCTGGTACCCATCCTTACCCCACCTTAGACCAGATCTCCATTTATCCCATCTTCTGATGTCCCAATCCAGTCCCTGGCCCCTCCCAGCTCTGCCCCCAGCACCCCTCCAGGACCATCAAGGACCGACTGATGAGTCCCCCTGGGTTCTCGGCTGTTTCTGTTTGTATTCCCTGTGGTCTTTTTAATGGAGCCCCAGGAACACGCTGAATGCTTGGTCCCTCTTGTACCAGAAGGCATGATTAGTTATATAAACAGTCTTCTGAGCTCAACCTCTTCACTCCAAATCTCAGGGAAATTAAAATACTTTCAATAGCTTTTTTTTTCAACCAGCATTCTGTAGGAGCCATCTGAGGGCTTGCTCAATTACTTGTACTTTTCTTCAAGAACATCATAGTTTAGATATCTTTCCTTCTTTTTTAAACCATGTTAAGTGTTTTGGTCCATAGCTCTTCCCTAATCCTGGGCCTAGCCAGGGGGGGCTTGACAGAGTGGACCCTTAATAGATGTTTGCGGGCTTTCTAAAATAAGGCATGAATGGAATATGAATTTTCATCTAAGGGAGCATTTCTAAAAATCAATGGAAAAAGTGGCCCAGATTTTTCACACTCAAGACTCAAGAAATAATGAAGTCTCTATTTGTATAGTCACTACTCCAAACATCATTAGTTAAAAAGACATTTAATAAATGCCAACAGAACTCTATGTTGGATATAAAGAATTTAATTTTCAGATAGTTCTCCTATAAGAATGAAAAAAAAATACTAAGCAGAAAAAAATTCATTTTAGGAGAAACCTGATCCGTGATTGGTTGAACCCATGGATGCAGAATTGGATATAGAGGGCTGACTGTACTATGCATCCATAGATTTTGGGATTCACAGGCAGTTGGGGAGAGGCCCTAGAACCAATCCTCTGCAGACACCAAGGAAGGGGTATATATTAATATGAATTCAATGCATTTGGGCCTCCAGCATTCCATTTCTATAATGGGCATAATACAAGGATTGAGGGTTGGGGGAATGGATAGTGAGGGATGCACAGGTACACACAGCTATACTTAAAATGGATAACCAACAAGGACTTACTCTTAGCACAGGGAACTTTGCTCAACATTATGTGGCAGCCTGGATGAGAGGGGAATTTGGGAGAGAACAGATACATGTATATGTATGGCTGACTCCCTTTGCTGTTCACCTAAAACTATCACAACATTGTTAACGAGCTATATACCAACATAAAATTTAAAAGTTTTAAAGAAAATAAATTATTTCTCATATCTCATTGGGTTAATGTAAGGATTAAACGAAATGACAGTGATAAACTAGTTTACCCAGAACCTGCCACACAGTAAGCTATCAATAAATAAATGTTGGCTATTACCATTACTAAAAAATTAACTTCAACAGTGTCAACACAGCTACAGTAAGGCCTTTTTCAATTCTTGTGTAGAAGCATCTAACTAAAAATATCCACATAAGTATCCAATATGAGGAAACTAGACATAGGTCAAAGATCCCAGGATAGATGCATACTTTTTCTATGAACTCTCTTATAACAAAATACACATAACATGAACGGAAATTTTTACTTTTCCAACAAAACCTAAAGCTATGAATCAACCTCTTGACAAGAGAGACTAACCCAGAAAAGGTGAAAAAAATGCCAGTGTGGTAACCAGAAGTCTCATCTTTCCCAAGTCAACCTTGACTTTCAGTAGCCAGCCTTTATGACATTTCTAGCACATGCTTATGCTCTATTTGAGGACTTAGAAAATTTATCCTTCCATCACCTCACAAGGAGAGCTCACAGCTGAGTGTCAGAGGTGAAGTGACTTGTCTCCTAAGTGTCAGGATACAGATTTCCACCCCCTGGGCTGGCTACAAACTTCATGTCTTTCCTCTCAGCCGTGCTGCTTTACCATACGAATGCAAAAAATGTAAATAAAAAGGTTTACTTACTTCATGTTTTGGCAGTTGCCAAAAGAGAAAGAGAACATGGAAACGAGAAAAAGCACAATGGGATAGCCACCTGTCTTTGGAGCAACCACATGGGCTGCTGTGGGTAACTAACCAGTAATATTTGAAACCTGATGTAAGGTAAGTAAAAGTCTATCATTTTTAATGTTTCTTGAAATGTGTTACTAAAAGGAAAAAAAAGGAAGATTATCACAGCTAGTCCCCCCATATATAAAATGCTAGTGATGACTGTAAATACTGATGGTGTTCACACACTATGTTCTGCATAAGCCTATTTACTCTTTTCTCAGGGGGCTGCAATGGGCAAGGAAAAAAACCAAATAGTCAGAAAATGAGATGAGGGGTCAAACTAACAGAACTTAACATTCTCAGGTAGCAACAAATTGTTCTTTGAGGGTTAATGGCAGCCTTACTCCTCTGAAGTGCAGAGCAGAGGGCAGTGAGTGCCATCACTGACGATTGTTCAAGGGACCCGGTGGACCCAGCAGGGTTGGGAAATGGGAGCGTCCTGAAGAAGGTGCTATGCTAGTTCACACGGGCTCTGAAAATGAATCCACAAACTCTGAATCTGATTCCTAGCTGGGAAAGAGTCTGCTACAAAGCCCCAGGGTCTACTTAAGGTATTCATGACCAACCGCTGACCTGCTGTCTCTATGACGAAGCTTGTGAGAGCTCCAGTGCAGTCCTGAACTGCACTCGTGAAGAGCTTTGGCACTCAAGAAATAACAGGTAGAAATCCTAACTACACCACCCAAAGCCACAGGCAACTACAGACTACCTGTAACCACCAGCATTCATTTCTCTTAGTGATGGCAGAAGGGGCTTCAAAAATCATGCATAAGATGGTGCCAAAAACGCTTGGAAAGCTTCTCTTTTGGTGGGGTGGACTGCCCAGAGAGACAGGGAAGGAATGCGCTGACCTGGTTGGCACCAGGCATCAGCAAGACCAAGCGAGTGAGGCTGGCACTCATGCCAACGAGCAATTAATTACTACCGGTGAGTGCAAGTTCCACGTCTGACGAATAGAAATCTGGACGGTGAGGTCAGGTTCCACCTAGCCAGTAGGGAGAAATAAAGTTGCTTCTCAGAAATATTCAAGCAAAATCTACTTGGTCCTAGAGGTACATTTCAGTAAAATAGGGGCACAACTCTTTTCAGAGAACCCAACAGACTTTGCAAGCAGCTTTGATTCTCTATCTCCCAGTAGAATATTAGGGCAGGGGTCCTGTCATGGCAGCCTGAAGTCTTCACATTTTGAACTCATTATAAGAGAAATAGATTTTTGGAATATTTTTGACAGTGAGTATTTTTGGTTTATCTTTAATGCAGAGCCTAAGAACCCATACCCTAAGACTCAGTCTCTCTGCTTCTAAGAATGTAACCCACAGAAATACTTCCATACATTCATATGTTTCCCCACTCTCCAAATACACATCCACACACACACACCCCCCTTCATGCCCCATCATATGGAGCATGGGAAAATTAGAAATCCTAGATGCCCATCCAACAGAAAAATGATTACATAAATTAACCCACTCCAGTATCCTTGCCCGGAAAATCTCAAGGACAGAAGAGCCTGGTGGGCTGCAGTCCATGGGGTCGCAAAGAGTCGGGCACAACTGGACAACTAACACTTACTTGACTAACACTTATACCATGGACAATCTCTAAAAGACAGAAATACATGCCAAGATCTTTAAGGTGAAGTGAAATACGTAAGTTAAAGAACATGTATGGTTTTAGACTCATTTATATAAAAAACAAAACTGTATTGGAGACAGAGTAGTGGGGACTTTTACTTCTTATTCTACATTTATGTTTGTATTTTTAAGATAAGCATGTCTCTTTCATAACTTACAAATTAAAAAATTAACATGTAAATATAGTTTCATACAACTAATATAAAAACTAGCTAAAATGCCACTATCCAGGGAGCTGCTATTTGTATTATGGTGGTATAAATCCTTTGACATATTATCCAATGAACCTGCATAATTGCAAACTTTTATAGCCTATGTTTACAACTTTTCTTAAACATTAAATATTCTATAAAGCATTATTCTGAATGGCTGCATAGTATTCTATCTTATGAGTGTACCAGAATTAATTTAATAACCTCTACTGTGGAAACCACTCCAATACTCTTGCCTGGAAAATCCCATGGACGGAGGAGCCTGGTCGGCTGCAGTCCATGGGGTCACTAAGAGTCGGACACGACTGAGCGACTTCACGTTCACTTTTCACTTTCATGCATTGGAGAAGGAAATGGCAACCCACTCCAGTGTTCTTGCCTGGAGAATCCCAGGGACGGGGGAGCCTGGTGGGCTGCCGTCCAGGGGGTCGCACAGAGTTGGACACGACTGAAGTGACTTAGCAGCAGCAGCAGCAACTGTGGAAAACTTGGGTTGTTTTCTAATTTTTCTCTATAAGAAAATCACTGTGGGGTTTCCCTGGTGGCTCAGTGGTAAAGAATCCACATGTCAATGCAGGAGACACGGGTTTGATCCCTGGTGCAGGAAGCTCTGACATGCCACGGAGCAACTAAGCCCATGCACCACAACTTTTGAGCCTGCCCTCTAGAGTCCGAGAGCTGCAACTACCAAACCCCCGTGCCCTGGAGCCTGAGCTGCACAAGAGAAGCCACTGCAGTGAGAAGGCCACACATCACAACTAGAGACTAGCCTCCACTCACCACAACTAGAGAAAGCTGGGCAGCAAAGAAGACCCAGTGCAACCATAAATAAATAAATAAAATTATTTTTTTAAAAACCCACTGAGATCAGCATTCTTATACACAGATCTGTGCAATCTCTATGTTCTTATAATAAATTTTCTGAAGTTTATTTACTGGACCAAAGAATATAACCATTATTAATTTAATGTACTAGGCGAAGAGATAGAACACTGTTAGCCTTTTGTTAAAGAAAGGCTATACCAACTTAAACTTACACCAGAAATATGTAAGTGTTGGGGAAAGGTAATTTTCTGGGCATCAACTCAAAGCATTAAAATGTTTTAATCACTGCCATTTTGAAAGACAAAAATATCATTTCTGTTTTCCTTTGTACCTTTTTGATTATTAAAGTTAAACACCTTCCCATATGTTTAATGACTGTTGGCATCTGTTATTTTGAGAACTATGTGTTTATATCTTTGTGCATCTTCTACCTTGATTACTTCTGTTCCAAAACCTGGGGGTTCTCATAGATTACTGTACAAAATCTTGTTGACCAAAGACACAGAAAAGGTTTTAAGAACACTTAAAAGATGAAAAAGCAACACAATTTGAGGATCTCAGTGAAATATAGCTCAGGTAGAGTCAGTGTTTTAGTCAGCTCATTTGTATTTAAGGTTAAAATTATTTTTCTCTTACCATTGAATTCTTCAACTTCCAGCTCTGGAGCTACCAGATAATACTGTTCACAAAGCATCTTGGCGGTTTCATACGCATCTGCAAAGAGAGAAAAAAAAGTCTAGCTGATGCACTAATACCATGGATTCAGACAGACAGACTTAATAAACAAGGACAATGTGTAATCTGACACATTTAGAATTAATCAATTACTGCCTTTTAAAAATAGCCTTCTTTGGCTACAGAAAAGGAATTACAATAACTGAACCAAAACTCCTCTTTTAGTTTTAATGACCACAAGAATATCAAAATGTTATATTAATGACAACATGCTGCTATGCTGTGCTTAGCTGTGTCCAACTCTGTGCAACTCTATGGAATATAGTCCATCAGGCTTCTCTGTCCATGGGGATTCTCCAGGCAAGAATACTGGAGTGGATTGCCTTGCCCTCCTCCAGGGGAATCTTCCCAACCCAGGGATCAAACCCAGGTCTCCCAATGACAACATAAGTCAGCTCTATACAAAACAAACTTTTAAATATTCCTGCAAGGCATTTTTCATGATAATCTATAAATTCAAGACTGTATTTCTGACTGGTCTGCAACCTGACTAAACTGTACCAAAAAAGATATTTGTTGCAAATTCAAAAATAGTAATGCCAATCCTCTTAAGATCTTCTAATTCTTTGTAAGTGAAACACCAATATGTGTTTTCTAAATGAATGGATTTCCATGCGCCACACGATTTAAGCTACTGGAGATACGACTCTCACTTTAAAATGTCCTTTAAATCACCCACACTTCAATAAAGTATTTTTTTAACATCCTTTAGGTAGTTAAAGGTAACAGGCTGTGCTGTGCTTAGTCACTCAGTCATGTCCAGCTGTTTGCAACCCCACGGTCTGTAGCCCTCCAGCCTAGAATTCATGGGGATTCTCCAGGCAAGAACACTGGAGTGGGTTGTCATGCCCTCCTCCAGGGGATCTTCCCAACCCAGGGATTGAATCTAGGTCTCTCGCATTGCAAGTGGATTCTTTACCAGCTGAGCTACCAGGGAAGCCCAGTAACAGGTTGGGGCTGTTATTTTATCAAAATCTGAAGAGCAACAGTTTGCTTTTGAAAGAAAAAAAAAAAGGGTTAGAAGATCAGAGCCATGAAGGTCAAATGGAAGAGAGAAATCAGGAAGTTACAACCCGAAGATGGGAACACATTCAGAAAGCTACAGTGAATTGTTTTATACTGCATGTGTGCCTTTTCTCTTCAGCTGTAAGCAATCTGAGGTCAGGGTTTGTGCCTTACACTGGTTTTGTAACACACAAAACTCATTCCATGACTGTTAGATAGTCAACAAATATTCCTTGGCTTGATCAATTGTGGGCTTCCCTGACAGCTCAGTTGGTAAAGAATCCGCCTGCAATGCAGGCCTCGGTTTGATTCCTGGGTTGGGAAGATCCCCTGGAGAAGGGAAAGACTACCCACTCCAGTATTCTGGCCTACAGAATTCCATGGACTGTATAGTCCATGGGGTCGTAGAGTGTTGGACATGACTGAGTGACTTTCACTTGATCAACTGTAAGCCTTTTGATAAATTTTTTAAAAAACAGATTTATTGAGATATAATTCTCATACAAGTTACCCATTGAAAGTGCACACACAATTTAATGATTTTCAGTTTACTTGCAAAGTTGTGCATCCATGACCACAATTAATTTTACACTTCCAATTCCCCCAAAGCAAACTCCATAACCATGAAAAGTCATTACCCCACTCCCATCCAGCCCTAGATAATCAGTAATCTACTTTTTGTCTCTACAGCTTTTCCTATTCTGGACATTTCATATAAATGAAATCATAGAATACATGGTCTTTTGTGACTGGTTTCTTTCACTTAGCATAAAGTTCTCAAGAGTCACCCATGTTGGAGCATGCACTGATAGTTAACTTCTTTTTATCACTAAATTAATATTGCATTGTGCAGATATATCACATTCTGTCTATTCATTTATTCACTGACAAGACATTTGGATTGTTTCCACTGTTGGGGTATTACATGTAAACATTCACACGTTCATTCACACTGCTATGAACATTCATGTGAAAAGTTATTTTGGTGAAGATTTATTTTTATTTCCCTTGGGTATATACCTAGGAGGGAAAAACTGCTTGATCATCTAGCAGCTTTATGTTTTTTTTTTTCCATTTATTTTTATTAGTTGGAGGCTAATTACTTTACAACATTGCAGTGGTTTTTGTCATACATTGAAATGAATTAGCCATGGATTTACATGTGTTCCCCATCCCGGTCCCCCCTCCCACCTCTCTCTCCGCCCTATCCCTCTGGGTCTTCCCAGTGCACCAGGCCCGAGCACTTGTCTCATGCACCCAACCTGGGCTGGTGATCTGTTTCACCCTAGATAATATACATGTTTTGATGCTGTTCTCTTGAAACATCCCACCCTCGCCTCCTCCCAGAGTCCACAAGTCTGTTCTATACATTTGAGTCTCTTTTTCTGTTTCGCATATAGGGTTATCGTTACCATCTTTCTAAATTCCATATATATGTGTTAGTATACTGTAATGGTCTTTATCTTTCTGGCTTACTTCGCTCTGTATAATGGGCTCCAGTTTCATCCATCTCATTAGAACTGATTCAAATGAATTCTTTTTAATGGCTGAGTAATATTCCATGGTGGGACCTAATGAAACTTAAAAGCTTTTGCACAACAAAGGAAACTATAAGCAAGGTGAAAAGACAGCCCTCAGAGTGGGAGAAAATACTAGCAAACGAAGCAACAGACAAAGGATTATCTCAAAAATATATAAGCAACTCCTCCAGCTCAACTTCAGAAAAATAAATGACCCAATCAAAAAATGGGCCAAAGAACTAAACAGACATTTCTCCAAGGAAGACATACAGATGGCACAAAAACACATGAAAAGATGCTCAACATCACTCATTATCAGAGAAATGCAAATCAAAACCACAATGAGGTACCATTACACACCAGTCAGGATGGCTGCTATCCAAAAGTCTACAAGCAATAAATGCTGGAGAGGGTGTGGAGAAAAGGGAACCCTCTTACACTGTTGGTGGGAATGCAAATTAGTACAGCCACTATGGAAAACAGTGTGGAGATTTCTTAAGCAGCTTTATGTTTAAATGTCTGAAGAACAGTCAGAGTGTCTTCCAAAGGAAGAGATTTTTTTAAAGTTCCATCTACCATTTCTAAAGATCAGATATTTAAATTGCTTTAAAATGCCTCATGGTCACATTTGCAATGTCCTCCACTGGCTATCAGCTCTTTGGAGACAGGCTCACATTTCTTTTCAACTCTTCACATCAGTACTGTGCATACAGGAGCCACATTCAAGATTCAAGAAGGAAGAGGAAAAGATGGAAGGAAGGAAGGGGGGGGAATAAGCCTGACAAATTAAGTATATTAAAAATTGAAAATGTCAACCTAAAATAATACAAAAGATAAAATTAGGGTATGTTCAGACTGTAAGTTTTGGTTCATTTACTTCCTATTGCTACTAAATTTCAATTTTACCTAATATTTGACTTTAGAGTAAAAATTCTTACTTTATTAAACTTTTAGAATTAAACCACTATAAAGAACCACAGAAACAGACATCAGAATCTCTTTGACAAGATGAAATAATGAGGGCTGGCCAAAAGAAATATTAACCAGAGGAGAAAGAAATTTTGAGAGAGATCATCAGTGTAAAAACAGACATTAAAGTAGGACTAGATTTAAACCTTAATGAAGAAGATGATAATTTAGAATTCTATTAATTAAGTTCACAAGTTTTTTTTTGTAGGGTATATAAAAACTCATCATCTCTCTCTAAAGTTCTTTTGAAATAAGAAAAGAAATCCAGACATACTCTTTGGGCTGTGGCTACACCACCAAACAATGCTACATCTCCACCTAGTGACACAACAGCACAGAGCTGACCAAGAACTTCCAGCACCTAAACCAGTAACAACTAAAATCATAATGTGGGGTTTCACTATCCATACACAGCGCCAGCACATCTCCACCAAACCACTCCTCCAAGTGTATAACACCGGAACTGCTCTTCCATTCACTATAATACAGGAAATGAGTTCAACTCCGCTAAAATGTGCTAGTTCCTCATGACATTAGCTTGCCAAGTAGCATGAGATTATAACAGCATTTTTCTTAAAAGCTTCTTGGGAATGTACTGATGAAGTGGAAACAGATTTATTCAAAATAAAAGAATAAATTAAATATATTGTCAGAAAAAATAGAAAAAAAAAGTTTGACACAAACGTAACATATGGAAGATGGTACAGTCCAGATAGACGCAGCCAACTTCTGAAACTCAAAGACCCACCATGATTCCTAAAACCACATGTGAACAAGGATTTTTCAAGCATCTCCACAAATCACAGTGTGAAAGTGAGTGAAGTCGCTCAGTCGTGTCCGACTCTTTGCGACCCCGTGGACTGTATAGCCTACCAGGCTCCTCCAACCATGGGATTCTCCAGGCAAGAATACTGGAGTGGGTTGCCATTTCCTAATTAAGAACTGCATCATGATCCTTGAGAAACTCAAGACAAGACAAGGAAACTCACATGTATCTGCCAGCCAGAAGTATTTTGGGGGCAGTAATGGCAAAATCTGTATTTGCATGCATCCTTACAAATTCCCCTGGCACATCATAATACACACCAAGTAAAACAAGCATCTGTTAAACAGAACAACCCTGCCCATATGAAAATTCTCCAGGTACAATCAATTATAATGATGAGAGACGTTCTTTCTGGTCAGATGGGGAACTAACGCCCTAGAGGGGTCCCCAAAACTGCATGTGCAGAATTCATTAGTAAGTTCACAGGTAAAATGAACCCCTGGGGATTCTGATGCAGTAGCTCTGTGTAGCCTAGGAATCTCTAGTTTTAAAAAAGTAAAAAACTTATTTAGCAAGTAATTCTGAAGAGAGAAGCTAGATTTGGGGACTACTGGCCGAGAAAGTCAATGCTGGGTCATGCTAATTCTGTCACTGTCACTCGTAGGATATGAGTGATCATGGGAGCTGGCAAGTATGACAGCACATATATACTCTAGTAG